AAAAAAAAAAAAAAAAAAAAAAAAAAAAAAAAAAAACAAAACACTATAGGCTAAGCTGATTTTTAAAATAATAAACAAAATTATGTTTCTTTACTTAAAATACTGTCCACTGGCAATGAAAATCCAAATGAATGGTTTGGAATACACTAAGATATCAAATTATATAATTTTAATCAATCTCTTTAGCCACTAAGGGGCCGTTTACTTCGAGGGACAGGACGGGATAAGTGAAATTATCCCGTTTATCCGTCGTTTACATTGCAGGATTAGGACAGGACTGGTGTGATGTGGCATCCATGTGGCATGTACAGGTGTCAAAGTTATCATTTATTGGCCGATAAAAAAATCCCGCCTGCTGCCCCAGATATCTGTATCCCGTACTGTTCATGCCTTTTTTGCCCTCAACTTTGCTTGTAAAAATACCTAAACACCCCTACACATCAAATTATTTATATCAAATACCAGTTAAATATAAAATTCTCTTACCTTGCGCTAATCCTCAAATCGACGAACAACAGAGGTGTTCTTCATTTTTCTGGTAAGTCTTCATCCTTCAATCTGTCCGCGAGGTAAGGTCGATTTTCACTCTTTTGTGTGTTTTCTTGATTACAACGAACCTAATTCAATGATTATTAACTGATTGAAGCCCTTATTTTTTCTGCGTGTGCGACGTTTTCTTTGTAACCCTCGGTCGATTTCTCTGTAACCCTCGGTCGATTGGGGATTTCAATTTTTTTTCGAAGAATGGAGCATAAATTTTAAACTGTAACCCTCGGTTCATTGTGCCATTTGGCGAGAATTTACAGGTTCGTTAAATTGTAATGATTTTTTAGGTTCAAAATAAAAGGATTGACAATGTGTATTTATTTTTCCTTCCTCAGATACGAGCACGAGCATTGAATCGATGTCGTATCTCAAGGTTGAAGCTTCGGTATTCCCATGGGATGCAAAGGTGAGCTCCGAATTCGATTCCTGCTAAATGCAAGCATAGTCATTTATCAGGAGATTAGTCGAATTCACGCATCCATAATGTGTGTAGGTAAACATATATATTTTCATAGTAGTCAAGCTCTTAAGATGAGTATGGTTATGTACTATTGGTTCGAGTATCACTATATATGTATTTTTAGAGATCTTGTGTGAGTTCTTAGGTGAGCTTCGTATTTTCATTGAATAAGGACTTTGTAAAATGAAAGAAAAAGGCTCTGGTACTGAATTCGATTGCCATGTTTTGTATGTTGAGAATGAGGTGTGTTTTGAGAATGTGTTGATGTTATTGAGATAATGGAGGGGATAATGGGGCTGTTTGTGTATTGTTTTTGCCTTGTTAGCATGTGAACTTGTGAACTTGTTATTCATGCCGGTTTATTTGGTTGAATTATGTGTTTTCCAGAGATTATGTGTTTTCCATATATTATAAATCATCTCTATATTGGAGAAAAAGGCCTTGGCCCTAGTACTTGTGTTTTAAAATTGGAGAAAAAGAAAGATGAGATAAATTATGTATGCATGTATGTTGTGTGTGTTCTTTGTGGCCTTATCCTGGATATATAGCTGAGCTTTACTATGCTGAAAATGCTTAAGTTATGAGTTTAAGAACAATCCTTAATGTTGTGGTTTGTGTTGTTGAAGTTTAAGAAAGTTAGAAAGAGGCTTCATTTGTATGTTGTTAGACTTGAACAACAGTTCGTTCTTGGACTTCATTGGAAATTATGAAGCTAAAACTGAATAATAGGTTGTAGAGAACAGACTTCATTGGAAATTAAATATAAATTATTATACTTGATACATTTGGCATATTGCGTAAGTGCTTTATGGGAGAGAGAATAAACTGTGTTTGTACTTCGTCCTTGCAGCTCTTCATTTATTTTAGAGGTGAAGGATGCGTCGCTGCCTTTCGATTTTCAGTTAGGGTGTAGGTAAACTTCTACTTAATTCAATTATCCAAATCCTTCTTGTGCGAGGATCAAATATGGGTTGATTGGCTAAAGGTTATCATTCACTCATCAATCTTAGCTTTCACACTTGACTTAATTCACATCATTTACATTGGCGCACTAAATTGTTATGGTGACAAAAACCTATCCAACAGGTCGACCCCAATGCCAAAGGACTGAGGAACATGTATTTTCCCTACTTCGATGATTGGTGTGAAATCTTCGGGAGCAGAGTTTGTGGACTTTGGTGAGCTTTCTATGATGGACTTTCGATGATTGTATGCCTACACCTATGCAACAATCTGAAGGAGCTTTCCATTTTTTTTTTACCATTGCGCTCATGGTGAAGGTCATTATCGGTGGCCGAGCATACAACACCGTTTGAAACTGGAAAATTGTGTTTTGTTCTAGACATTGTTGTTTTGTTTAATGCACATTTACTTGTTTTGTATGGGTTGAGATTGTACGATCATGGATTGAGATTCTAGGTTCTTTTAATTGCATTTGTCCAAGTATTGTCCATCTCCATGTCTTATTTGCACATCATTTGTGTATAATTTGGTGTTAATCGCTATCTGTAGGTTGAAAACCATGAGACTCAATGTCGTTGAATTAATGGAACATGTCGTTCATTTATTTATTTATTTTCCTTACCAAAAGTGACACCTTGCGTTAATTCTATTTTTCTGGTCTTGACTGATATTCAGTGGAAAAACATCAAGCCCTCTTTATAACATTTGTCCCAATTTGTTGAAAATTCCTTCGCAAATTTTCAATCACCGCCGATTACATTCCAATTATTATTATTATTATTATTATTATTATTATTATTATTATTATTATTATTATTATTATTATTATTATTATTATTATGTGTTATATTAACAAACTAATGTGAAGTTTTTATACTTGCAATGAACAGTCATATCATTTCATTTCAATTTGAAATATGTTAGACCATTGAATTGTCATATCATGTAATTTCCGACAACGATCATTAATTTATACAAGGACTACAAAATATGAGTTATTACACAAAACGAAAATAAGTGGACCACAATGCAACAACACTACAGAAAACGGAGATAAACTGTCAAGAATCCAACATCATCATCATCGGTCATTCTATCCAACCTTAAAAAAAACAAGAGACTAAAACAAATATTTCATATATGCGAGTTTCTTCTCCAAAGTTCGAGCTTCACACGCAACACCATCAAGTTTCAACTACAATTCAACTTTGTTTGTTGCGTCAATTTCCAAATTGTTCATCAACTCCTTGTTCGCAGCTTCCAAAGCTTTTATCTCGGTAGTTTTTAACTCCATCCTCTCGGATAACAGTTTCTCCATTACATTTTTGCACATTAGTTGCTCCTACAACCTATCATTTTCAACCTTAAGCTTGTTAAAACAATCCTTTTAAAAGGGTGGCAAATCGGGATCAATCCAAGCAAACGTGCCACAATCATTAGGCAATGTCATAAACGAAAAAACATTAATAAAAGGCAAAACTATGAATGTGAATGAACCAACTCAAACAAAATAAAAATCAACGGGAAAAAAACATTGGCACAAAGTGCTATAACAACTTTACCTTCCATCGGTAACATTCGAAGAACCTTCGAGTTGGGTTTTCATGAGTCATAGATGTGAACACATGACATTCTTTGCCATGTTCACATACTTTGATCTCCATCGGGTTATTGGAGCCTCTGTTGTATCGATTGGTTGAACTCGTGCGAGAAGTATCTAATGACATGGTGCTTGCTCAAAATATGAAAAATATGAACATATGACACACCAAAAATGACCTAGGAAGACAATCTCTTCCACATGATGTATTGTAAATACAACTGAAATGACCAACCCTAAATATTGTCTAAATTCCAATAATCAGAATATAGATGCAAATGATATAGCCATATAAGACTATCCAAAATGCAAACAAATGCATCAGAGGTGTATAGTTTCACATATGACATAAAGTTTCACAGTGCACAGTTACACAAAAGGCAAAGCCATATAACACTAGCCTAAATTTCCATCACCACTAATTTTACACATAATCATTAGACAAACTTGGTTTTCATTCTTATCCTTAATGTTAAAAACTGCATGATTAGGTAGCCGACAACCAAACAACCAACATGATCATAGCTTCTATTTCACTTAGGCATATCGAACATTGAAGTCGTTTAACCCTTGCAGCCATCTACCACGAACAATGAAAAATTACAGAAATCAATCCACTGCACTGCCATATAGCCATTATTTTTTGAAAGCCGAGTACCACGTAAGCTACCACACGAATATCAAACATAGTAATGCAAGTCATAGTAATCGAGCAACACAATAGTAAATATCATTCTTAATGCAAATAAGTTAAACGGGGTAACCAAGAAAAATAACTTGTCTGAAATTGACATCACTACTAAATTTACACATATTCAGTAGACAAACTTAGTGTTCATTCTTGTACTCAAGCTTAAAAACCGCAGGAATAAATGAGAAATTACGAATCAATATGCTTCTAAAATGCAAGCTTTTTTCTAATTTGGGGATTTAAACCTAGGGTTCAAAAACGCAAGGTTTTTTCTAATTTGGGGATTTGAAAGTTTCTACTCATTGGGCAATATGAACCTAGGGTTCGAAAACGCAAGCTTTATTCTAAAATCCGGATTTGAAAGGTTCTATTCATTGGGAAATATGAACCTAGGTTCGAAAAGTACCCTTATTACGGTGAAATTCATAATATTCCGACTCATAATATGAACCTAGGGTTTGAAAAACGGATTAAAGATCTAAACTTCATCACAGAAAAATACATAATTCGAGATTGAGAGGAAAATCAAACCTGTTGTTGCTGGAGAAAATGACGTCGATGTCCAGATCGTAGAGAACAGGCAATTCCTTGGCTTTCGATCGAGTTCGATTGCTTTAATTGCAGAAAGTCACTTGCCTCGCGACCCTTTTTCACTTCGAATGTCCCCTGCCTGCGCAAAGATTGAGAAGAATTAACGCCGATTTTGTGAGGAATGAACAAAGGTGGAGAAATTCGATTTTCTAAAGATACGATGGTAATTTAGTATTTGGATTGTGTAACATGCTAATTAATCCGTCGAAGTAAATATGGGATTCATTTATGCGAATCCCAACCAAAAAAGTAAACAAGTGATTGATTGCTGACATGTAAAGTTATATGGGATAATTTGTCTTATCCCATCCTGCAAAGTAAAAGAGGCCTAATGGAAAATGATAAATGCACCAAACACGTCAAGCACAATCACAAAATATCCTCAATTACAAACTACGACCCGCATTCATTCTCAATCAATTCATTTCTCCACGAATAAATCAAATAATTTCTCCACGAATAAATCAATTATTTTCTTTGAATAAATCAAATAATCTCCACGAATAAATCAAATAATTGTCCACGAATAAATTAAAATCATTTATCCACAAATTAATAAAATAATCTCCACAAATAAGTCAAATAATTTCTCCACGAATAAATCAAATAATCTCCACGAATAAATCAAATAATTTCTCCACGATAAATCAAATAATCTTCACGAATAACTCAAATAATTTTTTTCAATTTTCACCAATTTTAAAAATCCTCCGGTCTCAAAATTTAAATTAGCCTCATACATCCGTCATGAGAGTACTATCAATTACCTCACTGTCCATGTCATATCGTCCCGAAATAGCCTTGGGTTCTAACCAGGGATGTTGGACCATTTGGACTCGAGTTGGGCTCACTGTTGACCATCTGGACTGCGTACTGGGCCAAATTCATGCACTGGGCCGCCGATAAACACCTTTGGGCCGCAGAAACTCGTTGTTTTTCTGGGCTGAGGGGCAGCAGGGGAAATGTGTTGTTCTCGGGCCAGACGCGGGCTCACGTGAGCCAAACACTGGGAGGTTCACGGGCTAGAGCGCGGGCTCTTCGTGGGC